CACAATTATCAGTTGTCATCTGGCCTACATCAGCTCTATCCCAATATAGTGAAGGGAGCATCTCTTCACAATTCCTGAATACATAGGGTGGAATCAATTGTCATCTCTCCGTTATATTACAGTAGAATTTCTCCTTACCACACACATATTCAAAAAATACTTCTTCTTTTTCTACAAACAATTACATATCCTACATTTCAATTTATCATAAATGCACACGTACATCAGTGATGATGTTCACTCCATGTTTAATGAGTGAAATTACATTTAAACTAAAGATGTATAACTCCTAACTAGAAATAAAGCACGAAACCGCTTAGAAGTGGACAAAAAGGCATACGATTGAACACGAAGAAAAGTCTTACTCAGGTTCGCTGTAAACAAGAAACAGTAACAACAATAAAAAAGAAAGATGAGTGAGACTGATGTCGTATTCTTTTCGTGAAATGCATAACACTGCAGAAATCAAAGACAAGCAAGTACAGAAACTTGAAATAAATCTTCATTTGTTTGGATAAGGTGACACATATTTCCTCATACTAAGCAAGTTAACTACTGCAGACTTTGAGGATAAGAGATCCATCTGTCCACCCTCGAAACCAATCCTACCTAATCCACCGAACATTTCTCATCTGGTGGTTGCTTAATACTTGGTGTGCCTGATGATTAGGTGTAAGGATGAATGAGTAGTCAAATTATCAGGATCAATTTCATGAAGACAAAAATTCAGGTGATGGATGCAAGCGAATTCATGAAATGTTTCAGAGTATTGTGGTGATTGAGATTTTCCACCAAAATTCAAATCCTGAGCTGACTTGAAGTGAATAGAGAAGTATGCTATTGAATATAAAGGAAAATCTTACCTGATTATGCTGTAAACAAATAAGAGTAAGAACAGTGATAAGTGAGACTGACATCTTATACTCAATTAAAAATGAATTTCATTACCAAATCGAATCGACAGAGGTGTGGAAGATGCTGCTCCTCAGTTTGTTGGTTAATTTTATCAAGGGAACGGATTCTTCTTCGAATCATGTAGGACAATTGATTAGTTGTTCGCAGGAATATGAAGTTTGTTAAAGTAACGTAACTGGTTGTATCAGTCTGTTCTGAATATTTCTGTGTGGCTATCAACAGCTTTTGCTGTAGGCGAAATACCTTCCATTTATTTTCCCATTTCGTATAAATGGAAATGGCCAAATAGATGTGTGTAATCAGGTTATTTGAAAAATTGGTTGTTCACATTCATCACATTTTTCAGAAATACTCCGTACTTCATTTAACGCAATCGTTGTGGAATTTGTGAATTCGTGTATCATACCGCAATGTTTATCTGTCTGTCTGACGCATATTCGACAAACAGGTGCTTCTTACATAGCATGACATATTCTACGTTTAAACTTTACTTCGTTAATACGTGGATAGATCATGATGCTCAATCCTTGTCTTATTGAATAAGAGAGAATTCAAATAACCTAAAAGTTTAACAAGAAATTAAATACTCTACTGCTTCAACTTGCATGAAACAAAGCACACACTATTGCACAAGGAGGGAGAATTATCTTACCTAGCTTCGCTGTAAACAAATAATAACAGTAACAGTAACAGTAACAGCAACAACAACAACGACAACAACAATAATAAAAAAGAAAGATGAGTGAGAATGATGTCGTATTCTCGGTGTGAAATGAATAACATTGCAGAGATCAAAGAGAAACAAGTATAAAATCATAACAGTTCTTCGTTTAATTCAACATGAAGGCAAATGTGTGCGAATACAATTAAAGCATCGAAAGGAGACACTATGAGGATCAGGGATTTATGTGCATGCAAACTAATCCTATTCCACTGAACCACTTTCATCTAGCAGCAGTTATAAAACCCGTCATGTTTATTTCAAGACGCGTTGAATAAGGCAGAATCAATGATAACATTATCAACATTGATTGCATGAAAATGAGGGAATCTCAAACTAATGAGATGTTCAAGAAAGACATTTGTGATGATTAACACTTTCTGTCACCGTAGTGTGTGTATATCTTCACTGTTGTTTGTGTCTATTTATTGTAAACGCACAATACAAATAATTCTGCAGAATGAGAAATTTCGACTTCTGTCATCTCCATGTTGCTAGATCGGTTTGTGATACTCGATCAGTAGAGGTTGAGATTACAAAGCAAAAATATCAGAATGAAATTGGAAATGCTTTGGCGTTTTCACCAACATAAAAATAGTCAAGATAACGAAAGTGAGTGAGTGTTGGGCCTTATTCTCCTGAACAGCCTGTTTGCCTATCATAGGTAAATCTCAATGACACTTTTATTTGTACGCAAAATACGAACTAATCAATTCAAATAATAATGATCAGATAGAATGAATGAGATAAAAGCCTTTGTAAATATCATTATTGTGTTAATTAACCACAAGATCTGCTCTAATAGACGAGTTACTCTCATGATTTCAGTGAAACTACTACTACTACTACTTCATGATTATTTCTAAACAATCTTTCTTCGTCAGTAAATATGCTGTCTGACCTGTTGATGATACAGGTGAATTGAATGATTGTCAACACATTCATTAGCATGAGATCCGTTCGAAATCATGTATTGCCACAAGAAAGGCTACATAATATTTTGGTGTGCCTCGTCAATAGACGAGGACCCAAATGTAAGATAAGTGGGTATTTACTTAATTTATCGTCTTTGAAAGCAAGCAGCTGGAGAAACACAGGTAATATATCATACCGTAAATCAATGCACATGTATACGCGAATACACATACATAAAAACATGACCAAATGGATATGTCCAGTCAGATTCGTCCAAAAGGAGAGTCTCTAAAATGCCTCATATTGTTCACATATAATCCATTCTTCATTAACGCCATACAGATGTATTCAAAAGACCGACTGTTTTCGAAGACATGGTGTGCATTGTTTTGTGATGTCTTCATTATATTACAGCGAGATTTCTCCTTATCTTACACATACATATTCAAGAAATATTTCATTTCTTACATATAATCACATCTTCTACATTTCAGCTAGGCATAAATACTTGCATTAATCATGATGTACATTCTTCAATTTAATGAATCGACATACAATTAACCTAATAGTTTCTAACTTTTAACTAGGAATTCAGTACTAATAGTGATTTGAAATAAGCCCACGATTTCATATAGACAAGAAATCTTACCCAGGTTCTACTCTACTTTCTTCTGGAGTCTGAATACTACGTGGCACAACACTTTTGAAACTCATCAGAGGTTTTTCGAAAAACATAACCTCATTTTTGCGATCCATCAGATACAATTTCTGTTCTCCACCACCAGATTCTTCCAACAAAACTATCCGACCTCCTACTTTTAATTCTTCTCCCACCTAAGTTATTCGGAGCAAATGAATCACAGAATAAAAAGTGATTATTATTTTATTATATGGGAATCTTGAATGACTGATGCAAAATAAATAATGTCACGGACAGTTAGATTCATATGGGATTTCCCACGAATGTATCTCATGAAACAGATAAAAGACTATTCAGTGAATAAGGTATCGTCTACTAATGAAGTCATATTCATATTCAATTAAAGATGCCTATTCATTTCTCGAACATTTCATGAATCCAGGTCAAGCGAATTGAATGTGCTCCTCCCTTGAATTCGTTTATACTGCACATCCAGACTATGAAAGGGGTGTTGACTTTCAAGACTTGTGGATGATGTAGGCTCCAGCAATTCGTCAGTTCATCTACAAACCCTGTTAACAGAGAAGCTTTCTTCAACTTCCTCAACATACCGTGGTCTCAATTTCCTTTCTACTTGTTCGCCTCTAGTTTCACTTCGCATTTCACAGTTATTACTCCTACGTACTCCTTTTACCAACTTTACTATTCACTTGATTGTATTCTCACCTTCATCACACTTGTCAAGTGGACACTTAACCTAACATTTCTGATTTCTCATCATAACTTGATCCCACATGGTATTATTGGTGCAAGTATGGAATTTTCAGTATGTGATATTGGTAGCCCAAATTTTGCAGGCCGACCAATTGATATCAGGTGTGCGTCGGCTGCGGATCGAACTCGGACCATGTGCATGGTCGGATAGAGTCCTAACCGCTATGCAACCAACGCATATATCCAATAATTTTCACCCGAATTAATTTCAAGCCATCACTTCCACTATTTTGTTGATAATTACCTAAGATTTCTGAATATTTGGAAGTGTTTGTCGATTATGTCACAACCCCTGTACAAAATACTCAATATCGTCATGAAATGCAAAATGGGAGAATATACAAATTAGTGGATGTTACGAGACCTAGCTGCATTAAAGTTACTCTTGTGTCTAATCGAAACCAGTCAAGGATAACGGAACACGTAACGGTAAAATCATTTATGGAGAGCACTAAGGTGAGATATACATGGCAGACTATTGGCCATCATCAGTCCGTAAATCAGACAAGTGGTTCATTCTCACCTAAAATATCTTCATTCTACTGTATTAGTTTCTCACAGAAATGAAGATGGCACTACCTGAATAATGACAGTTTGTATCTACAAAGTGTAAGTGTGATGAGTGACTGACTGTTTGCATAACTGTACTGTGCAAATATTCACTGTCATTTGTTTTTTATTCATGTAAATATACACTACAAATATTCATGAGCAGTATGAACTCCTGAATCTTGTCGTCTGCGTCCTCTGTCCAGTTGATTTACTATTATTCTACCATTGCTCATTAAAATCGCAAATAAATATGACATTTGAATAAGTAGACTTACTGGAAATATGATACTTCTATCCAGTACATGCAAATAAATAGCATCATACTTTGGATTTAATGACCAAGGTTTAAGATCACTAACTGATCTGAATATAATTTGTGTCCCCAATGTGAAGACCTTTTTAGTGTATTGTAGCCACTTAGCGAAATTCCCCAAAGCCGCTTCCATTAAATTATTATCAGGTAGAGTGGATTCTGTCCTACCACTAATCCCAGACTTTGAGAGGCAGGAAAACAAAAAAGGAGACATAAGTGTGTAGATCACTTTGATATATACTAAGCAAATCAATATCAACCTGATGGTCCATTGTATGGAAAGTAAAACAACTAGTTAGCTATCTGGAAAGAGATTAATACAGGTGGTGAATGGAACCTAATGAGCAAAGAGGAGAAAAGAAAACTCTAGGCTGAAGTCTTCAAAACGCTTGAATCAACCACCACTCAAAACTTACCCAAAATACCACTAACAGCATCAGAACTCCCAGTGAACACCGGTCCTCCGAAGTAAGCGGAAGTCGCTACCGCCAGCGATGAGAATCACTGAAAACGCACTCAAAGACCTAGTGTATATGCTCACGCCACATTTGCATAGCGTTTGAAGGGAAGAGTGAATGCCTACTGGTTGAATGAAGTAGGAACACCCTTTGAAACTACCACAGAGTGGTGAATTTCTACAACTTCAAAAGAATCACACTCTTGATTGCTTGTAGATAACTTCTAACCTCAATATCACAATGAGGAGCATATGAGTACCCATGAACGTTCTGCTAAGCTATTCAAATCTCGAATTCTCAGAAAGCATCTGATGTCTACGACTTCTGATGTACATTATTACAGAGGGAATGACTATAGACCTTCTGTTGGAATCATACTAGAAAACAATGGGAAATCGAATAGTGAAGATATTAGACATCGAAGATAATTCAGTTCACAACAAACACCTGGATCAACTGAAAATAAATGAAGTAGGTGGTTCCGATTACAATTTTAATGATTCCGCTACTAATCTTGATTTTGTAGATAATTCAGAAATAAGTCCAGATGATACTGATGAAAATAATATCGCAGAATCGGTTAGAAGATCCCAGAGACTATCAAGCAAACCAAGATATCATTATCAATACGCAAGGGGACCTTTGACATGTTATGGATGTGACGATTGACAATTTCTATCTCTGTATTGTTTATATAATTACTGTTGTTTGTTAGTATATTATTATATGAATTACTAATAATTCCGCCAAATATAAATTCCTAAATTCATCCCTCTGTGTGTTATTGGTTGATTTCCTGTGATTCGGTCATTGTAAAATACTTCTAAAGCAAGTAATTATAACATTGCTCCAAACAAAGTATTAAACCGAATCATCCTGGAGAGACTAGGGATGCTCCGGACATAAAACTCCAACTGAATTGAGCTGAATTAAGGGAAACCGAATCACATGTAGACCAAATGACATTTCACCATAAAACGGTCTCATCGATTGAGAATATGCAGATGATGTAGTTCTTCTAAGCAAAGATGCTGACAAAATCCAGCGTCTTTCGAATACCTTGAGCAGATATCTCAGCAAGTTTGACACAAGATTTGCCCTAGTCAAATTGTAGATGATGCTGCATGACTACACTGAACTGGCTACTAGTTCAAGGATAGGAAGTGGATGTTATATTACCTAAAGTGACTGGGACACGTATTATCCATGTTGAACCGTCGACTTCTTTGTCAGGCAATATTAGCTGATATAGAATTATGTTGAGAAGGGATTAGAGATGGTTAAATCAAAACATATTATCAAACTGTGAAGTAACTGGTAACTAGCTTGAGCCAGTGTTGTTGCATGGTGAAGACCACCTGACTGGGATAATCAAGGTGTCAAGAACCAAATACTGGAGACTGTCCTTGACACAACTCAAAGCGGTTATCAATGATGCAAATAGATTCAAATTCGTAGTCTCCTAGATCTATTCGAGTCTCATTATTATTTACCTATTGTATGCATCTATTCGTTATGGCTTCTTTACATGTCTCCTAGCTGTATCTTTGATTCTCAAACCGCAGCACTTTTGCGTAAAGCTTCACTTTAAAAATTCACTTCAGCTAATCAAGACATCCAAGTTAATATAAACCGAACTCTTTTACTTCACTAAGTTATTCAGATAAGCAGAGTGAGATAAGGTCCATAATTCTGTAAACATGACGAAATTTTGGATTGGATCATAGGTTTTGTTACGGAGGTTTTCGTAATCCTCCAATCCGAATATACAAAAATTGTTGATGGGATGAGTTAAATGACAAAATATAATTGTCAGAAGGTATTGGTAACATTTAGGGATGAGCAATGGTTAAACTCAATGGATGGAAATACGCTGGTCATTTTGCATTCTGTTCATGAATGTAAATTCATTGTATTATGATATTGAAACATTCAACGCCATCCTTAATGAACCTGTAGATGAAAATATTGTTGTTGTCAACGTACCTCAACTAACTCCAAGCTTCGAATGGCAATATTCTGGTTAGCTTAGATATTCATGAAACTAAGCTCCAAAACTTTCTGGTAATGTGAGCCATGTGAAACACTATAATCAAAATTACACTTCACTACAATAGACTCACCATAAACGTTACACAAGCTGAGAGGTATCCACTACCCCGCTCCATAATTAAAGAGTGTGAACCGTCTTTGATGTAGTCATGCAGTGCTTCCAGAATAGCTGCTTGCTGGATCACAGAAAACGAAAGGGTAAATATTTAGTGTGCGCATCGAATTAAAGAAACACAGAAGTGCATCTGTGGAGTCTGGAACAATTTGACTGAACAGCTCTCTCTTAGCTGTTAATAAGGAAACATTATACATAACTTTTATCGAAAACAATTCATTGTAAAATATACATAACACACCCATCCAATAATATCATCGAACGCAAAGTTTAAACTCACCAACATAATTCAATTCACAATTCATAGCCACAATGCTCTACCTGCTTATTCTCATGAAATTCACACTTTAGTTACTCATTGAAGTCAAATTTACATGAAGTGAACGTAACGCATATCACAGATCGAGTATCAAAGAATTCAACAAACACTGCAATGAAATCGAAAACTCTGGACTGTTTCAGGTGTACACATGTTCGAATAAACATGTCAACCACCAGAAAGCCATCAGACACGTGTACGATAAGCATCCGTTATCACTAAGTAAAGTATGCAGTATCCAATAAATACTGATAAACTTGCATAAACTGCCCAAGCGCTACCAGTGCATACCACTTACCACTCATGAATGTTTAACGTATTGTTCTGAGGAGGAGGTACATTTCCAGGCAGTTATCTTTCCCAACCTCTGTTTTGTCAATCTGATTTATGACCCTTAGTAATGAACTCAACTTCTGTTTGTTAACTTTCATCTGCTTTCTATACTGCACATTTGTATTAATTTATTAAAACTAAATCATTAGGGATTGACACATGGCATAAACTAACGTGGCATACTGAAATCTCTGCCTCACAATGATTCTCAGTAATAAAATCTACTGAACTCACGACAAAGGGAGGAAGAATTATGGCATCGGATTTCGTTGACATTGAAGAAATGTTATAAGGGTTAGTCTCAACAAAACAACCACGATCCACATTCTGCAAGGCTTTTTTGACACGCAAGGATTTTACAAACCCTTTCTCTGAATTGAAACCTGTAGTAAACTTCAGCTACTAATTACCCTCTAGCTTTGTTATCATTTCTGTATTTTTCCCTTCATTTATTTGACAGGCGGAAACGCTGCAAATAAAAAGTGAAATGGTGATTATGACATAGATGTTTCTGAAGTAAGTGAATAGATTCATGTCTTCTGTGATACAACTACGCGGAAACGCAAGTAACAAAGTCAAAATACCGCCTTCGACATACAATCCAATATCCAATATCATTTTTAGTGTATCCAATATGCAGCGTGCCTTCCACCAGCTGGCGTATCCAGAATCATTTTGACAAGCTAATTTTATTCAATCTGAATCTCTTATTCCCTTAATACTGACGCACTATTAGTGTGCATGTACAAAACTCGTCGTTTTAATACTTCACATTCTCCCTTGTCTCACCCTCTTAGCTGCTCCAACTATTAGTTCCCTTACATTATATATGAAAGAATTATTAGGTGCAGTAGTGAGCCCATAAGAGTAAAGGGTAAATTAACTTTGGAATAAATACGTTTACTTTATAGGATATATTGCGAATATATAACTTAGAAATTAATCCACAGTATCAGTAGTGTCTAATGAAGATGGTTTCGCGAATCCTACAGAAATTACATTTGCATCCCTAGTAAAATATAGTGGTCAAATATAAGGTACATACGTCTCAACTCTAAACAGTCATGCACAGTGTCAACAGAATAGAGAAATACTTAAAATATTCTAAGTTACATGGACATATTGAATATCCAATTTCGTTTTCACGAGCTAGTGAACACCAATTTGATTTGTTTGTACCCACCTCGTGGCTGTGAGTTAAGAGATCTTGGCTTTTAAGAAATTTCTGCATAGTTCGTCCATTCATTCAACTATCGCAGCTATGCTGACTCCAAAATTAGTGCTGCAAGTTGGTGTCCTAAGACTACTTTTATTTACAGTCTACATTAGCAGCATTTGTAACTGCTTCACCTCAGGTAAACCGTTCCTATATGCTGACGACCTGAAAGTCGTTTACTCCTACTACACTCATGAATTAAACGATGTGGTAAGTTAAACACATCTTGGACTAAGTGATCTGGCAACATGGTGTGAAGAATCCTGCCTGAAGTTTAACATTGAGAAATGCGGCTAGATTTGTTTTGGCAACAGTAGCCTTGATCTAAGTCTTGAAATAAACGGGCGAAAACTAGCCAAGCTCAACTCAGTCGTAGATCTCGGTATCAGATACCTTAGTAACTTAATGCTCTGTGAACAAACTGATTATGCCAGGCGTAAAATCACGAAGGCTCCTAGGATGCATAACTCGCAATTTCTTTTGTTGTGAAACTAGGCTTTTATCGTGCAAACTATGTCTTCGGCCTGTTTTAGAATACAGCCTGTTTATCCCTAGAGGACTGCGGCAGAATGACAAGTCTAAATCAGAGGAAGTGCAGCGGCAACTTACCCTAGTAATTATCGGTTTTGAATGCGATGTCGACTACGCTGAGTGTAGCGTAGACTGAGAACAGAACTACTCTGCAAAAGACGGCTTAAGGTGAACCTTGTTTTCTTCTACAAGCTAACTCATCTTCTCTTGCACTCCTCCTGGCCAATAACCAAATCTACCTCTGTCATCAGGTACAATTTTAGAAATCATGACAACCTAGTTGCTACAGGACATTGTCAGACTTATTATTTATTTTTTTATTTTGATTACAGCTTGATTCCACACCGTATTTTCAGTACAAGTATGGAATTTTCAGCGTGGATATCGGTAGCCCAAATTTACAGGCCGACCATAGATATCGGGTGTGCGCCGGCGGGGGATCGAACCCCGGACCATGTGCATGGTCGGCGAGAGTCCTAACCACTGTGCCACCGACGCACTTACATGCAGTACAATCTCTTCTCAAATAAGTTTTCAGTCATTTGGAATAGACTACCAGCTGATGTGCGTGATGGAAACACACTCCCAGTGTTCATCTCCCCAGTCACCAGACTGCTCAAAGATGACAATGTGTCTGACTCGTTTACCTTCTTTTTCACCCTACATGGATAATATAAATTCATTAAGCGTAAACGTTTCAATAAACTACAATAATACGTGTTGATATTTTTGGAAGTACATGCTAAACATTTCTACACTGCACATTAATATTAGTCCACACATAATATAAAAGTCAGCATAACAGCATAACTAGTTAAATAGTGTACTAAAATAATCATAGTTACTACACAGAATATATACATATATATACATGTATATAAATTTATTAACCACTCCTTGAGAACTCCACTTGCTTTCTTTTGTGCTGCTGTTATTTGTCTCGTTTTTCCTCTCAGCACTTTAGCTTCTATATGACTTTTTGAATGAGAATAAAGAATGTAGATATTTGACCACTCACAATGACGAATGATCTGAAACATTATTGGCCCCATATCTTACAATTGCCTCGTGAATTACGCGTTACCTCCTCCCACATTTGTGGAATATACCTTTATACCAATGAAGAAGTATTAATTTGTAATACTTCACGAATGCAATTTATAACATAACCAATCGTGCCTGTACAAATAGCATGCATTTCTTTTAATATAATCTACTATTATTAGCCTACATTGAGTACAATTCACTTGTGATGTTACTATGAAATTGCCGACAAAATTATACAAGTGTATACAAGTTAAATTATTGCCAAATTTGGATATAAATCAAGAATAAGGCTCGACGCCGTACACACCAAAGTTTTATAAGGGAATTACTTGAAGCTTTATTTCTTTCCCAAGCCACTCAACGTTTGCGTTACATTTTGCATGATTCGTTACATGAAATTTAACTTCTAATCCTTGCACAAGTACTATACTCCTTCCATACCTGTAACCATCAACTCTCATATGAAATAGTTATGGTTAATCAAAGTAAAAATCAACGAACCCAATCCCCTGTAAATCTGGTGACTAATATTACGTCTCTGAATGTTGCATCAAGCAACACACTCCCTATAATCGGTGATAGTGAGCCAAATAACTCACTTGTATGCCGTAAGCGTCGAGCTGGAATTGAGAATAAAACTGTAATGAGACATAGTATTAGCACTACTCCTAAAAATTCAGTACCCTCTCCTCAGACAGAACCCTCCCTACACTTTATGTGCTTATGAAAATTCTCCAGCCATCAAGCTCTGTTTCAGTATTATCTTCAGAAATAAAACTTCCAAAGTTGTTTATAGGAGAATTTAAGGCTGAGTTAAAGGAAATAAAAAACAAAAAGTCAGCGAATGCTGGAAATTCTTAGAGCAATACCAAGATATCCAAATTATCAAATCAGATCAGTATGTTTGTGAACTGACACCTCCTACTATCCTCATGAAAATTGTAAACCTTAACAAACTTGACAGAGAATCGGTAACTAATATAGACAACCCCATTAACTTTGTTACTGCAGAAGTAACAAAACGACTCGACGCAAAACTGAGCGCTATTGTATACAACGTTCCGGACAATGAGGCACTAAATTAGTTACGGCGCATCTTACTTAGTGAGGCGAAAATGTCCAACTCCAAGACTAAGTTCTGTAGACTGAAGAAGGGTCAACATGAAAAGTGTTGTCCTATTCGTCTTCAGTTCGAAACACCAGGAGAGACCAGAAAATTCATCCACTCCCAACACACCCTATCGCAAGCCAGAAACTCCAAACTAATAAGGGCTGCGGTGGACAAGACAGTCATAGAAAGGCGCGCATAAAATTATCTCACTACGCCTAATTGTGGAATAAATGATAGGACATAGCAGGCGGCCATTATACTCAGCCCTGTGAGAGATACCGTAGAACCCAACGCACCACTCCTCTCAAACCACATAGAATTATTCCTTCAGAGCGCAACATCAGCCGAAAGGCCACTAGACTGTAATCAAATAGCTAATAAAACCATATCACCTATCACCGTAGATATAGACATGTCACTAAACAACCCCAGAAAAAAGTCAAAGCCCCTCGAAAGTCGACAATATCCTCTCCTAGACCTAACTCCATTGGTAAAGAGGAAATGGTTAACAAACCTATCCAAAATATGTCACTGGCACTGAAAAAAGCTAGTTCACTCACCAAATGCTTCTCAGAAAATGTGCACGATAAAAAATACGCCCTCAAATTATGCCAACAATAACAATGGCAGTATATATAAGCCCATACTTCCCACGGCCAATGGTGTTAACACTCACAACGTGCAAAATCGAACCATGGCACACACTAATAACCAATATCTTAAGAATGCCAGCCTCAATAGTACAAGTGGCAATAGTAAGAACTCGGCTACCGACAACTCAGGGTCTTCAGAGTATGGCACACAAACATGTTTTGACCGGATATATGGTACAAGTCTGCTGGGAACTAACCCACAATGCAGTACACACGAAACCCATACAAGAACACAACTAGTATCAAACAATAGGTGGAATAAACCATGATCATCACAAGAATCCAATCATTTTTTATCCTCTGCGTCCCTGTCAACGTTGAAAAAACAGCTGTAGGAATACTGACACTCCTAAACCACTAGTGCTGGCTCCCATCTTGCATGATAACAGGATCAGTCTAGTTAACACGCATCCATCAGGCACACTTGATACATGCACAAGTTTAGGTCAAATAAAGATCCCTGAAGTGAGTGACACACAATTCTGTTAATACATGTATGATGAAAGTGAACTAAAATAAGGACGGCAGTTGTAGAAATGAGCCTTGTATTATATCATGCTTGGAAATATCAGTTCCCTCATAGTTTAGTTTCAGTATTAAGTGAATGGAATGCAATCTACAGATTCATGAAATTCACACACTGACGTACTACTTTTCTGAAATCATAGTTAATGTCTCCTCATTAAAGTGAGCAATGGGTATTGTACTTGTGTAAAATCAGTAGGCTGTGAACCCCTGCCGATGAAAACGACAGAAATTCTTGGAATTATCAGTTATAATTTCAGCTGGATCATATGCAACACTCAGCAGTTGTTAAGTGGTCAATTCATGAACATGGAATCCATACAGAAAGCGCAGAAGATTTAGTGCA